CGAAGAACAAATCGATGTCCCTTCAACGTTCCTGCACAAATTAATCTAATGGGTTTCTATCAAAAAAAAAACTATAAGCCGCTTGGAACAAAGCCCTCACCATTCTGGCAATGAATCTCTACATCCGAAACGACATCGCTTCCAACCAAAGAACTGAGATCCTCAGAAAGCCGCTCTAGGCGCTCTAGCTGCGAATGGAAGAATTATTTTCAAAGGCCTACTAGTTTCGGCCAAATAGTAAATAGGGCTACCTTTTCCAACAGGTGAGCTTGACGCTGCATAAAAATACTTGTCCGCTCGCAATTCTTTTGGCAAATTTCTGAATGAGGCACCTTTTCGCCACTGGTTTTCCTAATCTTGAATGCTTCTAGGAATCGCTCGTGAACTTTTTGCAAGACCTAAATTGAATATTTTTGTAGAGTTAATAATTGCTGAGTAGTCAGGAACATCAGTGGCAAATATATTGGCTCTGCTGGATATCAAAAGAAAAGAAAAAAAACAAAAAAGAATAACTCACTTCACATTTGCACGAGCGCGGAGCTAGTTCAACTATAGCATAGGAGCGCGGCCTTTTCCGTCTCTTCTCGTTAGGATCAGGTATTCTAGATAGTTGAATAGTTTTAACGAATTGTTTAAATCATTATAAAAAAAAAGCAGAACAAGTATATGAATGAAAGGAATATGCAATCGCACACAGCACCATAAGATACAGTAGGAAAAAACAAGTCCTTTCTGTATTGACAAACCTTGTAAACTCTTGAGGCGGCGTTGGTTTTACATCAAAAGGATCCTCAGTCATGCTTGCAGAAATCGCTTTTGCCAATTGGACGTTCTCATCGAACATCGACTTGGGAGCTCCGTGAAGTTTTGGAGGAACTACCTCTTTCTTCACTGGTAGTGGCGCTCTATGAGCAAAAAATACAGGATCTCTCCTCAAAAAGTCGAAAAGAACAGGAAATAGATTATAAACTAACTTTGTATGAACCATGCTAGCTCTTTTTTTAGCATTCGAGACTCGGCTCTGTGTTTCCATAAGTCTCAACAACTCTTTCGGTGCAATTTTGAACCTCTTTCCACATCGTTTTGCGTGAGCTGCTCGATGCTAAATTTTTCAGTATGATCTAAAAAGAATTTGTAAGCGCGTTTACTAACCGGGCCAGGTGGTTGTGGTTCTCCACACATTGGGCAATCAATGGTGTTGTCCCATTTCTCAGTAGCTTTGGCATGATTGGATTTCG